CTTCCCTTCCCTTCCCTTCCCTTAATTTTTTAATTATTTTATTATTCACAATTACATTTTTCATTCACCATTTACGACATCATTTATTATTTTATTTTATAATTGTATTATTTATTGTTGTTATTTTGGTTCATTTTAATTTCCTTATTTTAATCAGTTTAGTTTAACTTATTTTATTTTATTTTATTTTAATTTAATTTAATTTATTTCATTTTATTTTAATTTAATTTATTTTATTTTATTTCTATTTAATTTGTTTAATTTATTTTATTTATTTTAATTTATTTAATTTTTCATTTATTTTAATTTAATTTCTTCTGCTTTATTTCATTTCATTTTATTTTATTTTTATTTTACTTATTTCACTTATTTTATTTATTTTAATCTATTTGATTTTTCATTTATTTTAATTTAATTTCTTTTGCTTCATTTCCTTTTATTTTATCTTATTTTATCTTAATTCGGTTCAATATCTTTTGTTCTAATTGACGTCCCTTCCATTCCAGGCCGTTCCCTCCTCCCGCGCTGCCTCCGCTCCTTCCTGCCCGTGTACGTCCTGCTGGGCCTCTCCCTCCTGCTCAGCATCTCCCTCTGCGCCCTCTCCCTCTCCAGAGGTGCCACATTCCCTCCTTCCCTCCTTCCCACCGTTCCCACTCCATGATCCCACTTTCCCACCCATTAATTCCCCTCCATTCCCTAATTATCCCCCCAACCCCCCCCCAGATCCCAAATCCCACATCCCCGTCCCTGCTCCCTCCCTTCCCGCCCCATCCCAACCTTTGACCCAACAACCCGAGTTTTGGGGGATTTTTGTTCCCCTGGAAAACCCCCAATAATCCGATTTTTCTCCCAAATTTGGGCCCATTTCGGTCTCTCCCCCTTTCCCAGTTTCAGCCGTTTCCTCCAAACTCCTCGAGGTGAATCCGGAGCGGGGGCAGAACTTTTCCAACCGGGATTCCCTCCGTAAGTCCCGACCCCTCAACACTTCCCTGCCCCTCCGGATATTCCCTAAATCCCGAAATCCTCCCCAGTTCCCTCCAAACTCCTGCCAGAGGCACCGACCCCTCAGGAAAAATCCCATTGGACACTTGGGAAAATCCCATTGAACCCTCTGGAAAAACCCCATTGGACATTTGGGAAAAATCCCATTTAACACTTGGAAAATCCCATTTGACCCTCTGGAAAAATCCCATTGAATCCTCGGGAAAACTCCCATTTCCCCCTTTGGAAAATCCCATGTAACCCTTGGAAAACTCCCATTGAACACTTGAACCCTTTGGAAAAATAACCCCATTTTCTCTTCCCGGTGTGATTCCCCCCCCCCCCCAATCCCAACATTCCCCATTTTCCCCGGGAATAACCCCCCCCACGTACCCCAATCCCCGCCCTTTCTCCCCCTTTCCCCCGAGCAGCCCCTTTTTCCCGGCTGATCCCGCCCCCTCGGTGTCCCGCAGTGTTTCCCTGCGGGCCGGATTCCCGGGAATGGGAATATTTCCACGGGAAGTGTTACTATTTCTCGCTGGGCCGCGCCAGCTGGTTCCGGGCCAAGGCTCAGTGCGAGGAGCTGGGATCGCACCTCGCCGTCATCGACAGCTTCGCCGAGCAGGTGCCGAGCCCGAGCCCGCCGGGAATTCCCGCCGGGAATCCTCCCGGAGAGCCGTTCCCGCCCTCCGCCGCCAGGGAGCGACCGGGAACCGCGGCCCGGGGGTTTTTGGGATGCGGTTGGATCGCGGTTTGTGCCGTGTCCCTGCTCCGCGTCCTTATCCCACATCCCTGTTCCTCATCCTTATCCCTGTTCCTCATCCTTGTCCCTGTCCCTCATCCTTATCCTCATCCCTATCCCACATCCCCATCCTGTCCCCATCCCTAATCCCAATCCCTCATCCCTACCCCACATCCCTCTCCCATATCCCTCATCCCTGTCCCTCATCCCTACCCCACATCCCCCTCCTATTCCAATCCCTCTCCCTCCCCCATCCCAATCCTACCTCCCCGATCCCATTCCTCCTTTTCCCGGCGTTTTTTCCCGCCCTGATCCCGCTCCCCGATCCCGGCAGAGCTTCATCATGTTCCGGACGCGGAACGAGCGTTTCTGGATCGGCCTCACGGACCGGAATTCCGAGGGGGATTGGGAATGGATCGACGGCACCGACTACAAAACCACCTTCACGTCAGTGCGGGGGCGCCTCGAGCCGGGACTGACCCCAAAATCGGGCTCAGACCACCCCGTTTGCTCCCATCCCGCCTTCACCCCTCCTTATCCCTGCTCTTCCCAGGTTCTGGAAGGAGGGGGAGCCCAACAACAGCGGGAATAACGAGGACTGTGCCCACGTCTGGATCGCCGGGAAGTGGAACGACGTTTACTGCACCTACGAGTGTTACTTCGTGTGCGAGAAGCCCCTGCCCCGCTGAGGGCCGGCGGGAGCCGCCTCTCCCCCCCTAATTTATGGAATCCCGCTTTTCCCGGGATTCGGGACCCGGTCGGGTGTCCCCGCGCGATAAAAGCGGGAATTCGGGGGCTCCCCGCGGAGCTTCCGTGAATAAAAGGAGGTTTTGTTCTGTTTGGGGGGGTCTGGGAGGGGGTTTTGGGGCGGGGATCGACGTCCCGAGGGAAAAACAGCGTTTTCCAAGGTTTTTCCTGTTTTTTTGGGGGATGTTTAGTTTGGATTCCCACGGGAGAATTACCTGGAATTTGGGTGTTTCAGGAGGGAACTCGAGGGCCGTTCAGGTCCGTGCGGGGTCCGGGAGCCTGCGGGGATCAGGGAAAAGTGTCCTTCCCTTCCCGGTTTTCCATCCTTTCCCCCGCAAACCCGGCGTATTCCCGACTTTTCCCTGGATTTCCGGGTGGGGGGGGTGGTCCCGAGGTTTCGGGGGGGGGGTCCCGGGGGCGGCGCGTCCACCCCGAGCACGATCGTGCCGCGCTCGGGATCCTCTCCCGGGGCTCTCCCGGTGTCCCCGTCCCGTGTCCCAGTAAGACCCCGACCCCGGCACCGACCCCGACCCCAGGAGCGACCCCGGTGCCCACCCCGGGTCCCCTCGGGCCGCCGGGTCTGTCCCGACGTGTCGCGACTCGGCGGAGGGCGGGGGGGGGCAGAAGGGCGGGCGCGGTCCCCGGGGGGACTCCGGGGGGGAGCGGGAGGAGCCGCCGGGATTCGGTACCGGGAGCTCCGGGAGGAGGAGGAGGAGGAGGAGGAAGAGGAGGGGGAGGAGGAGCGGGAGGAGCGGAGAGACCCCCGAGGCGGCGGGCGGGGGGTTTTTCCCGGTGCTCTCCCGGTCCGGTCCCGGTGGTTTCCCGGCGCTCTCCCCGGTCCGGTCCCGGTTCTCACGCTCCTCTCCCGGTCCCATCCCGGTGTTTTTCTCGGTGATCTCCCGATCTGCTCCCGGTCCTCACGGCTTCTCCCCCGATCCCATCCCGGTCCTCTCCCGGTGCTTTCCGCCCGGTTCTCCCCCGGTCTTATCCCGGTCCTCTCCTGGTCCTCCCGGTCCGCTCCCGGTCCTATCCCGGTGTTCTCGCGGCTCCTCCCACTCCTCCCCCGGTCCGCTCCCGCTCCCATCCCGGTGTTGTCCCCGCTCCTTCTCCTCCCGCAGCCGCCGGGATGAAGACGGAGGAGGCTCCGTCCTGTCTCCAGCAGGCGACGGCCGTCCTGGGATTCGGTGAGTGCCGGGAATACCGGGAATACCGGGAATGGGGGCACCGGGACACCCCCAGCCCCGGCAGCATCCTCATCCTCATCCTCACCGTCATCCTCATCCTCATCCTCACCCTCATCCTCATTCCTCCTCCTTCCCGGCGTCTCCCCAAGTTCCAGCGGGAGCTCGGCCCTGCCCGCCCTTCCCGTTTTCCCAAACCCGGTATTCCCGGCTCCTCGGCTGTTGGTTATTCCCTGCTTGGGAAGGATATTCCAACCTCTCCTGGATTTCTGGGATAACCAGGAGACTCCCCCTTAGGGCAGAATCCCGACCCCCTGGAAAAAACCCTTGGAATCGCGGTGTATCCCGACCCCCTGGATCATCCCTCTGGAATCACAGTGTGTCCCAAGGCTCTGGAAAACCCTCTGGAGCCGAGGTGTATCCCAAACTCCTGGATAAACCCTTTGGAATCACAGTGTATCCAGACCCTCTGGAAAATCCTTTGGAGCCTCAGTGTATCCCAACCCTCTGGAAAACCCTCTGGAGCCGCGGTTTATCCCGATCCTTGCCCGATTCTGGGGCTTGGGATCCTTCCCCATCCCACCCCAAACGTGGAGTTCCCGTTTGGAATAATTCGGGATAACACCGGGATGAGGCCCCCGAGCTGCCTCCCCCCCCCCCAATCCTTGCTGGAATTTCGGGATCCTCTCCACGTCCCTTTTCCCATGTTTTTTTCCCTCTTCATTACCATTATTTACGGGTCCGAACCGCCGCGTTTTCCCAATTCCCGGTATTTTCAGGATTTTTTGTAGGGCGGAATCTCCTTTACTTTCAGTTTTGCCTCTTTCTCCCGGGCGAGTTGTTTTCCCGGGATTTTTCCAATCCCCTTTTTCCCGGGATCGCTCGTGTTAATCCCGACCTCGAGACGAGCAAGACTCGGCTGTTCCAGGCCCTTCTCCCGCATCCCAAATCCCGGGAATTCTCCCGCTGCCGGGGCCAGAGGGACCAGAATCCCCTTTTATCCCGATCCCACATTCCCCACGATTTTTCTTCTCCCCGACAACCCCCCCATTGGATTATTCCCTGGCTTTCCCTCTAAATTAATCGGGATTCGGGAATTCTGAATCCCAGGCGCCTCCATCCCGAGGGAATTTCGGCCGATCCCGAGGGGTGAAAATATTTGATGGGAGAAATTAATAAGGGAGGGAAAAAACGAGGAATTCGGGATGGACGTGGGACAAATATCCATGGGGAAAAAAACAAACAAACAAACAACTGGGATGTGGCTCCGTGTTCCCTTCACGGAATTTGGGTCTGAAAAACCCAAATGATCCCAATTCTCTCCCAAAATGCAGCGCCGGGGGGAGGACGCGGTTCCCTTGGAGCCGCGGGGCTTTTCCCGGGATTCCAAACGGTCCCAGGACTTCGTGAGAGATCAAATCCGACGGGAAAAGTGCTGGGAAAACTTCCTGTTGGCGGGTAATTCCCGATTCCCCGCGTTCCACCTCCCGACCCGCCTCATCCCTCTCCCCGGTTCGGGTCTGAGGATCCGGGAATCCGGGATGATTCGGGATTTTGGGATCTTCATCCCCGAGGGGGTTGGAAAAGCTGCTTCCCAGGGCCCGGGAGAGGAGTCCGGGTGGGTTGGGAAAGGCTTGGAATGTCCCTGGAGAAGCGGGGAATCGGGAAATCCCGGTTTTTCTGGGGATGCGCCGGCTCAGGGTTTGGAATTCCAGCGCCCAAATTAAAGCGGGGTTTGGATTTCAGTGCCCAAATTAAAGCTGGGTTCGGAATTCCAGCGCCCAAACACGAAGCTGGGTTCAGATTTCGGAGCCTAAATTAAAGCTGGATTTGGAATTCCGGTGCCCGAATCAAACCTCGGCTCAGAATTCCAAGTTTAAAAAAAAAAAAAACAGATTAAAACCGGGCTTAAAATTCGGCGCCCGAATTAAAAAACGCCCGAATTAAAACAGGTTTTAGGATTCCAGTGCCAGGATTAAACCCGGGCTTAGAATTCCAGCGCCTGAATTGGAAGCGCCCGAATTCCAAGTGCCCGATCCCAAGCCGGGTTTAGGATCCCGGTGCCCGATCCCGAGCCGGGCCCATCATTCCCTCTCCCCCCGAGGGGCAGCAGATCCCCATTCCCGGTTTTTTGAGGCTTCGCCCGCGGGACGAGGAGCCTCGGGGGGGGGGTCGGGCAGGTGTTTTCCCGGGATTTGGGCGCCTGGAGCGGGAAGGGGGGGGTTGGGTGGAGGTGCCGCCGCCTGGCCCGGCCCCTCCCCCAGATCCAGAGCCCCGATAGGGAATTTTTTTCCTCCCTTTTTTCTTGGTTTTGACCTCGAAGTCGCTCCTTTGAGGAGCCGCCAGAGATCCAAGGGGAGATAAAATCCAGGGAAAAAAAAAAACCAAACCCACAAAAACAACAATTCCCGAAGATCTGGAGCGGGGAAAGAAAAAGGCCCAAAATCCGGGATAAAACCGGACAAAATTCCGCCCCCCGGGATTGTGCCTCGTCCTGGAAAAGGTTCCCGGCATTCCCGGCATTCCCGGCGTCCAATGTCCCCTGGCCAGACGTGGATTTGTTCTCCCGATCCCACAGGTTTTCCAAGCCCTCCGGGGGTTTGTGCAGCACCAGAATTCAAGGAATTCTGGAAGTGCCCCGAGACAGGTGGGAGCCACCCGGGCCATGGAAGGTGTCCCTGCCTTTGGAATTCGGAGGGATGGGAGGATCCTTAAGGTCCCTTCCCACCCAGAGCATCCCAGGATTCCAGGACTCTGCTCCGGGCACAGGCTGGGAGAGCTGGGAATGTTCCCCTGGAGCAGGGAGGGATCCAGGGAGAGCTTCCAGCACA